CGCACCCTGACGGGTGGCGCGCCACAGCCGCGCCTTGATCAGTGGCACGGCAAGGCCTGCCATGTCAGCGACCAGTGGGCCGAGGACATTGCCACGTACACACCCCTATCGCGCCGCCATACATGGCGCGACAACGTTGTTTCGCCGTGTCCTGGAAATAGGCACGGCCAAAAGTGTTACTTTTGAAAAAAAAAACAATGTTAGAATTAAAAATAGTTTAAAAAAGTGTTAAAAAAATTCTCTACTGCTATGCACTAACGAGTGCATCTAATCGCAATTCACAAACAGCTAATGATGTCGAACAGTCGTTGGGATGCATAAGCCGTGTCATTTGTTTTTATTCTTCTAAAATGAGCATTTGATTGGTTGGTTGGTAATTAGGAGGTGATCAATTGTTCGATAGAATGCATCAAAGGGTAACCATACCAGGCTAAAGATGTGGTGATTCTATCCACGATAAAACAAGCAACTAAACAAACTCTTATGAAAATCAGACTAGAGATAGCAGCCTAACCAAACATATCCATGTTTTTTTTCTAGGGACAAGCATACCCTAAAGGCAGCCCCTACGCAGGCTGCTATGGACAGTGGTTTCAGTAAAAAGATTTCTTCCACCTAGACAAGGATAGATTGAAATCACTAATGTCACAACGCTATATATTTTTAACAGCTTCTTCTACTCTATTGATTATGTAGTCTTTTTTTTCAGCAGACCACTCTACTTGATGCTCCAAGCCAACACTTTTTTGCTGCAACGCATGGCTTCAACTGCAGCTTGTGCTTTTTATCTTCAGACGAAGCAAATATCTCATCTACAAGCCACACTTACATGCTGCTAAAAGCCACCTTTCCAACTTCTCTCACATTCGCATAGGTATCTGAGCCTACACGGCATCATAGGACAACAGTACATAGTGGAGCGCTGGGGAAGAACTAATAGGCTCCAATCCTAGTCAGGCCCGATAAGAGAAGAGGCAGCCCATGGTCAGCCCAAGGCGGCCCATGTCATGCCTTTTACTCCATCTCCTCTGCCAGCGCAGCGGGGAAAGGACAAAGGAGGGACGAAGCGATGCAGCCGCCGCCGCAGCTGCCGGCGGCTTTGCCGGTAGGGTTCCGCTTCCGCCCGACGGACGAGGAGCTGGTGCGGCACTACCTCAAGCCCAAGATCGCGGGTCGCGCGCACGCGGACCTGCTCCTCATCCCCGATGTCGACCTCTCGGCGTGCGAGCCCTGGGAGCTGCCCGCCAAGGCCCTCATCAGGTCCGACGACCTCGAGTGGTTCTTCTTCGCGCCCCTCGACCGCAAGTACCCCGGCGGCCACCGCTCCAACCGCTCCACCGCTGCCGGGTACTGGAAGGCCACGGGCAAGGACCGCCTCATCCGCTCGCGCCCAGCAGGCACCGTCATCGGCGTCAAAAAGACGCTCGTCTTCCACAGAGGCAGGGCGCCCCGAGGCCACCGCACCGCCTGGATCATGCACGAGTACCGCACGGCCGAGCCCCAGCTCCAGCAAGGCCAAAACGTTTGTTTTGCTCCTGCTACCCATTTCCCCCATTTGACTACTGCTGCCCCCAGGCTGATTACAATCATTTCTTGTTTCTTTCTACTCTATCACCAGGGTAGCTTCGTGCTCTACCGCCTATTCAACAAGAACGAGGAGGAATCCGAAGCCTCAGACGCCGCCGATTCACCGTCCACATCGTCTCCGGCCATCGCACCAGCGGTGAAAGCTGAGAATTTGAGCCAGCCGGCTTCTGCCCAAATGTCTCATCTTCTTGCAACTGTCAGTAGCAATGAGCCAACATCCAACCAGGTGCAGTAGAGTATCCTTGCATTGGTCTAAGTTAAGATCTCATTTCAATGCACGCAGTGTATTGATTCAGGGTGTAACTGTAACCTAAAGCAGGGAGACGATCATCTTCTGGATGTGTTAGCCCAGCTTCCAGACCTACAGCCTGAGCATACATTCGATGGATTCCCTACAATCACCTCTCCGATGCGTCCTTACACTGATCATCCTTTTCTTGGCAATGCTGGCGAGCAAGATCTTTCAGCGTATATAGATAGTATCATTGCTCATCAGGATCTGGAAGACTTGTTGGCCAGCCCTTCTTTGGCTGACATGGTTGAGCAGGCCACTGTAAATGTTGAGCCCCACCCTACTTCTCTACCCGTTCTAGACAACAGCTCAAACAGCAAGAGATTGGCTGAAAATGGCCGTGGAAAAGTTGGTTCTGAAACGTTGCTCCTAATCAAGGTTAGGATCATTTTGTCTTCACTTTATCCATCTTGGGATTCATACCTCAACATAATTCCTAGTTTCCTTTTCAAACAAAGGGTACAGATGGCACAGGTGCTTCTGCTTGCTGTTCTTCTGCAACCAAAATACTACAAGCTGATAAAGACAATGCTAATCATCACACAGGAGCTCAGAGTAACTTGTCTTCCAATGCATCAGCTCAAGTGTCCCACTTTGACAACCAATATCAACTTCAATCGGCATTCATTCCTGAAACGGAACCACCAAATAGTGGGGCCTTGTGCTCTGCAGCCTCCTCGACTCCTTATCCCCAGCACTTGTTCAATTGTATGGTAGCACCGGCTAGGATTGACATTTCAGATTCAGATATCTTTAATGGACTCCAAGGATGGGCAGCGGAACCTTCTACGGATCCACACCAAGGGAATGCACCAAGAAGGATCCGCCTTGTGCACTCTATTCAGAGGGCATCAGTCACTGAGCCTGTACTGACTTCTCATTTGGAGGGTGAAGATGAAGCAGGATTATGTTATAGCACAGGCAGTTCATCCACCAACAATAACGAGGATTATGCCAATGTGTTCTCCCAATCTATGGTTCGACTCTACCTTCCCATAACTCTATTTACTGACGCTAGTATTAACTGGATTAATATGGTCTTGATCAGGCTGGAGAAGCAATGCATATTCAAGGTGGAGGGGTGATACCTACTCAAGTAGTTTCGTCGACGGAAATTACAGAAAAGCTACAAGATTTCACATTTGATGGTAGTATATTGCTATTTCCATTTAAATAGCTCTAGTGCTCTCTGAACTTAGTATATAATATTAATTATAAAAAACTATGGTTCAGGTAGCGAGGTCAAAAATATTTTGTATATTCCATGGAGTCAGGGTGGGTGTTCGGTCCTACCCGATATTTCGGGTCGGGTTTTTCGGTCTTTAGATATTGAGAACCGAAGTTAGCATGGGAGAATCGGTGAACCGAGGATTCGATCTTCGGTCTCTCTGATTTAGTCTTCGGTTCTGACCGAACAAACCGAGATGAGTAGATACAGTAATATGGATGGGGTTGTAGGGGATCTCTGGCATACCCATCTTGGTGTTGAAGCCAGATCGAGACCGGAAGGAGTACATGGTGATGGATCTCCTGCCAGGCGGCCACGGCGGATGGGAAAAGGGTGGGGTTTGTGTACCTGGCATTGATGTCGAGCGACAAGCATGAGGCACGAAGGTAGAGGCAAGATGCTGCAGCATGAGGGGCGTGATTAAGAGGAGACATGAGACAACTCAGAGGGGCGCGATTGAGAGGAGACTGCAACTCAGACGGCGGCGCTAAGGAAGTGCCGAGCAGGCAGTGGGACGGAGACTGGTGCTGGCATGCTGCACACCAGGCGTGGGGCACCGTTTCCCTCGGGCGACCGGGCGGAGGACACGAGATCGGGAGGCACAGAGCAAACGGTGGTGGGGACTTGGGGATAAGGACGAGCAGAATAGCAGATGATGACGTTAGTTTGGGTACTTCGGGAATTCAGGTATTCAGCAGTGCAGACCGAATAGGCTTCTATAAAAATCGGTGTTTCCAAACTCGAGACCGATATAAGAACCGACGACCGAGTGTTCGGGTATTTCGGTCTCGGTTAGGGTATTTCGGTCTCGTTTTTTTTTTTTTTTTTTTTGCCCAGGCCGACTTCACACATTGCATTTGCTTTTTCCTCATTTATTTGCGGCAAATTGCAAAGCTGTAGCTCTTATCAGTGGCTTCTACACAACTTGGGCTGTGGGGTCACTTCTGTTATGAAAAAATTCAGTTGGATTGCTTCCTCATATCGTAGAGTCTAAAGTTAGCTTTTCAGCGTTTCACTAATACTCAACGGCATGTGACCAGAGACGGATCTGCCTGTATTGCCTTGGGATGCTATTAACACGATGCTGTAAAACCTGACCTTCTCCATATAATATATGTTGGAGCGAATAGATATCCCACCTGCATGACTGCAACTTGAGCTGTATCTGAGGTTTTGGTAATTTTGTTTTGCAGAAGGTACACAGCTACATGGTGAGCTACATCATGGAGGCAATATCAAGCAGCGGCACAAACAGGAACATACGGAGGAGACCAGCCAGGATGTCCGTGAGGGCATGCAGCACAGCGTCCATGTGACTGGAGTGGCAGTGCCATCCTTGAGAAGACAACGAGAGGCTGCACGGATTGGTTCAGTTGTGGGGTTGCTCTTTTTGGCTCTCGTCATCGTCATCCTTGTATTTGTAGGATTATGGAAATGTAGCTCGTACAAGTTGCTGCATTAGCAGCTACCATTTGTGATTCAGGGGTAACAGCGCATTAGTAGCTATTTGTAATGTTTGCCTGGTTCGTCTCCGAACCGAAGGAGCAGGGGGAAAATGTCTGTAGGATTCACAATGCTCCTCCGGTGTATATTTGGTTGGCTTGACATGGAGTCAGAAATCTAAGAGTTGTGAGGTAGCATGTTGCCTTGTTCATAGAATGAAACTTGTGTAGATGAGTTGCAAGGTGTGAGTGTTCCATATATTGTAGCTAGGATGAGTTAGAAACGTCGAGATGTGTATGTCATAAGTGTTTGTTGTAGCTTACTTATTATGTGGATGGATCATGTTCATGTCATGTGTAATCTATCTAAAGATATAAAGATATATGAGAGAGCATGGAAATGCAAATAAAGGAATGCAGAGCACAATCTGCCAATCTCTGCTACATATTGTCATGCCATGTGTTTGAGGACAACCAGACCGAAAGCGATCCCCATGAAGGTGGCGATGGCGATCCCAAAGATGCCCGCAAGGATTCCTGGAACCACCAGAGAGGTCCATCCCTTGGCGGTGGCCATGCCGCAGACCGTGGTGGGGCCGCCCACGTTGGCGTTGGACGCTATGAGCAGCAGCTTGGTGTGGAGGCCGAGCAGGTTCCCGACGCCAAGGGTGACCAGGAGGTGCACCGCGATCTGCACCGAGGCGAACGCAAAGATGCTAGGGCTGGTGTTGATGACATTGCCGATGCTTCCATTGGCTCCAACAACAGCGAAGAACACCTGCATCAGAATGACGGCCATGGGCTCGGCCGACGGCGCCAGGTCACCAAGGTGAGAGGGGAACAGTGTTGCCAAAGCCACCACGATTGCTGTTATGAAGGGAAGGCTTCCCCCCGGAACGCCAAGCACGGTCGTCGCCAGCTTGCCTGCCTTGCATATGGCGAATGCCGCCGCCATGGCCACGGCACTGTGCACAACGGGTGGTAGTGGTAACTGGTGGTGCTGCTGCTGCTCCTTCTGCTTGTCACTGTCACCCCCAGCAGCATCGTCTCCGACTGAATGGTCTTCCGCGGGGATCCTCGCAGCTATTGCGAAGATGCTTGTGAAGTAGAGTGCGCAGATGATGTTGTCGGCGGCCAGCCCGGCTGCCAGCACTGACGGAGAAACCTCAAGAGCTTCAGAAACAGCAACGTAGTTGACAGCTGAAACAGCATTTCTATTCCATTTCAGTGACTCAGTGTCAGTGATGGCATTGCCATGCCTCCTGCAATGCAGTGCAACAAACAGGACGGACATGTCACCTCACCTCCCCCGATGTGGCGGCTCATGAGCGCCGCCGCGATCTTCCAGTTGTCCGGCCCTAGCGAGCGCATGGGGACGAGCAGGAACGCCACCACAGTGCCAATCGTTGTCGCCACTGCACACAATGACACAATACGGAGTCAGAGTCAGACGCAGCAGGCAGACAATACGACAGAGAGAGAGAGAGAGAGGAGTGTACGATTACGGACGAGATCCGAGCAGGAATGCCAGCAGCAGGGCCCCCGTTGAGCGGAGCACGCGGCGCAGGTCCGCGCGGAAGAGCAGCAGCGGGATGGCCAGCGGCAGCAGGTACTCCAGCACCACGCGGTAGGCCGGGGCGTCCGCCGCCACCACGCCGGCGCTGCTGGCCGCCAGCCCCAGCAGGACGCTCACCAGCGCCCCGCTCAGCGCCTTGCCCACGGGGGTCCGCTTCTCCGACCAGATGCCCAGGGCGGCGGTGCTTAGGAGGAAGGTCCAGTTGCCCCAGTGGTCAGACGCCGGAACGAGGGGGCCCCGTTCATGGCCCAAACACGGCACCAGAGCAAGGATCTTGCGCTGGCGGACTCCACCAACTCTGTCTCTAGCAGACGACGACGACGACCGTCCTGGTACAAGGCCGCATAACCACTTTTGGCGGCGGCGGCGGCCAAGGACCGGAGCTGTGACGGTGGAGCTGCCTGGGGCGGCGACGGCGACGGCGACGGCCGCGGCGGATGCCATCCGGAGTCAAACCACAGGACCGGAAGCGGAACAGACTCAGCTCAGCACCAAGCACTGTACACTGACAGGCTGCACAGCGAAGAACGAGCACGGTGGTGCCCAACTTTGCAGAAAAGTTACTTTTTTAATTATTTTTATACTCCACCACTGAACTCGATTTTCATTCGTGAATTCACAGTACTAGGGTGTGCTAGTCGTTCTCTCATCAGATATTTAAACACGTACATAGAGTATTAAATATAAACTAATTATAAAACTAATTACCTAGCTGGTAACTAATTTACTAAACAAATCTTTTAAACCTAATTAGTCTATAATTTGACAATATAATGCTACAGTGAACATATGGTAATGACGGATTAATTAGACTTAATAAATTCGTCTCGTAAAGTACTGACGGATTTTGTAATTTTTTTTTTATCAGTGTCCGAACACTCCATACGACACCCTCACGTAACACCTTCTAAATTTTAGTCACCGGATCCCAACACCCCCTTAGTTACAGGTAGCCTGAATAAACAGCAAGTCCATCCATCATCACCAGCAAATCATCAACACAATAATAGCCAAACCAAATACTCATTCCCAACAGTCATCGGTACATTCAGGTAACAACTGCATGCTCAAAGCTTCTTCAGGTCTTTAGCACTTTGTACATACATGGTACGTAGTAATAGTTCGGTAAACTCAGGAGGGAAGGGGACTAGGGGAGACCCCCAACAACATAATAGTTTCAAGAGTTTGGTAGACTCAGGAGGAAAGGGGAGACTCCAACAACACAATTTCAAGAGTTTTGATAGGATAGTTGAAGTTGTGGTGTCCCCCAATTCATTCAGCAGCTAGCGCTTCTTCCTCTTCTTCTCGTCTTTGGATTTCTCCTGCGCATTCTTCATCTGCAGAAGCAACCAAGCAACGACTTAGTGTGAGGCAGCAGCCATCAACTAACGTATGGCCAGTACTACATCCAATAGCAATCATTTCCTGAGAGGAGTAAAATTTTACACCCTCTGTTCCAAAGCTTTGCTACATACATTGCTTTTGCTATATATCTAGACACAGTATATATTATATATCTAAATGCATAGCAAAAACTAATTATCTAGAAAAGCCAAAATGTTTTATAATTTGGAACGGAGGGAGTAAAACACACGCATACAACAACACAACTCACCATGATGACAAGGATCCGAACAAGAACGGCAACAAAGTCGGTGAAGAGAGTCAGCGCGTGCTTGATGTAGTCCATGTCCCCACCGTGCGCCCTCTCGATAATCTCCTGGGTGTCAAACACCATATATCCCAGGAAAACCAGGAGGCCAAAGTAGAGCTGCAGCAGGGCAGGTGGCCATCCATGACCATGATGCAGTCAGTCAGCTTGGTTGTTACAAGGCGAAGACAACTTTTGTTTGTAGGGTATAAGCAAGCTTATCCACCTCAAACATGAAGGTGGTGCTGGTGTGGCCAAAGATTGAAGTAGCGAACTGCAGCCAGAGAAGAATTGAGAGGCCAGATGAAAGCAGACCACCGAGGTACAGGTACTCCCTGCGCTTGGCGATGATGGCAGCGCCAGAGAAGCATCCAAAAGCAATTGCAGTTCCGACGAACGCCGTCACGAGAATCCTGGTAGATGAGCAGAGCAAAAGCAGTTTAACAAGGCAGACCACAAGTACTCTATGAATCAACTCAAGAGATCATCATTCTTTCGGTGTAAATTTCTAGCTAGCTAGCATACTCCAGGCTAAGAGGAAATGGATGGGAAATTGAGGAACGAACAAAACAATGTCATTCAGTATCAGTAGTGTGGACAGGCCTAATGAATAATGAATAATACTTAAAATAAAGGATGATGACGATGATCGACCTCGGATCGACGTCAATAACAAGGTCGACGAGCGGGCCAACGGAGGCGCCTTGAAGGAGCGCAGCAGCCATGAGCAGGGCGAAGCGGTTCCTCTCCTGGTCCTGTGAAGCGGGCAGGGAGATGAGGTAGGCTATGGCGGCCAGGCATCCGAGGGTCGTGAGGGTGCCTCCGACGTTGAGGAGGATGTGGAGGTAAGCGCCGAGCGCAGAGAAGGCCAGCGCGGAGCATAGGGTGAGGTACACCTGCAGTCGGGAACGGACGGAACGGGATCAGCCAAAGCAAAGGGTAAGGAGAGAATCGGGATGCGAATGGGGGAAAAGGAGACGAGGGACTTGCGTGTTTGAGGTGCGACTGCACAGCAGGTGAGATGTGACCCAGACGCTTGAGCGATTCGAAGCCGCCGCCGCCGCCGCCCGTCCTCCTCCGCTGCGATTGCGCGTCCCAGAAGCCGAACAGGGACTCCATCGCAAGCGCCACCGACTGATTCCGCAAACTGGACGGGGCTGTGAAGCAAGCAGGTAACCCTAATTTGACCGGCCGGGGTTGGGGATTTGGGGGATTGGAATTGGAATGGGGTATTCTCTATTCCAGTCGGGAGGCAGACGAAGACGAGCACGACGACTTGACGATGGAAAAGTCGTTGGTCCGGGCCAGCCGGCCAGGCCACACCCACCACTTGTTCGTTGCTGCGGCCCACTCTTTGCTTTCAGGCTTGGCCCAACATCCTACTCGCCTGTATGGTCATCCCGTTTAGGGCATATATGTAGCAGCGTTTTTTTTTGATAGGAGGGCATATGTAGCGTTGGAAAAATGCCGACCCGGGTTATAGGTGAAAGTGCATCTAATTCTATCATCAATTTTGGTGAGTTAATGAAGAAATGCAAACAAAGAACTAATAAGGCTCATGAAGTATTCCAATGACTAACGATTATGAAAAGTGTGATGGACAAATGAAGAACCCCCGGTTCCTTATGTGATGATGACTATGGTAAAAGGACATGATTATGGAAGTTTCAACGTTTTATATATTCTTTTGATCTTATTTTGAGTATTAGAAAAGCCTTACTATTAAAGGGATCAAAATCAAGTCACTTGCGCTGAGTGCTCAAAGGTACCTAACTAAAACATAGATACCATAGGCCGAAATTCCAATAGGTTAGAATTTTAGGGATAATTTCCAATCAGGAGTCGTCAAGTTGCCATTGCCTCCTATGGTCCTATATCAGAATTTGCGATCTTGGGTAAGAATTTTTGACATCTGATGTTGTTTATGTATAACCCTATTGCGTAAACACTACTATATTTTTCAGGGCTTGCAGATTTTAGCTACGGCCGTAATTTATGTTCTTTGGCAATTTTTTGTATAATTGCTAGATGAGAGAGGTGGAGTATTTGTACCTCTCACTCTCACTCTATCGCCCAATTCACTCTTGACCCATCACAAACCTGATTCTTATCAACCTCATTAGTGCTACCTCCGGCCCCCTCCTCATTTTGGCTTGGGATTCTTGGTGTCGATACAGAAAGTGACCAACTAGTGAATATTTATAGTTTTGTTGTACGTTGTGATCGGAGGTGGCCTAGCACTCAATGACAAGGATTTAGATTGGTTCGGGCAACGTGCCCTATGTCCAATGTGGGTCGGTCGGTGACTTTATTCCTGAGCCCAGGTGCTCGAAGTCTGTAGTGGGGTTACAAACGAGAGGGAGAGAAGAGGGGTGTACAAGAGGCCTGGTCAGGTCCGACCGGAAGGGCCGAGGGTGACCGAAACTCCGCTATGAGATGGATGTTCAAGCGTGTGCTTGAAGGGTTGCGAACTATCGGTCTAGTGAATCTGAACTTGGAGGAGATCGTCCTCCTGTTGGAGGGAGCGCATCCCCTTTTATAGAAGAAGGGGATGACTTTACAAGAGAGAGAGAGAGAGTACGGATGTTTACGGAGTCTTGTTGCCTACGCCGATGAGGAGTGGATGATGGTAGGCGCCCACAACACTATTGATGTCACTGTAGAAAGTCAGGTGCATGTGGGAGGTCGCGGTGGCTTCTTCAGGAAGGGTGGACATCGGTACCTGCAAAATATGTGAGGGGCCCCACCACGTGTACCAGGTATGGTGGATCCTGGCGCCCCCTATCGATGCCCAGAGGCATGGAGGGCCTTTTGCCGTATGGGAGCCCCACGACGCCCACAATACTGTAGACACAAATGTCGACGCCTACAATACTGCTTGTGTCAGGGCGGTCGTGGAGTACTGTTCCCACAGGCGTACAGGGTATGGTCCCGGTATCGTGGTTTGACTTAGTGCGCCGCTCTTCCCTGTTCGCCCCTGGTCCCTTCCGAGCGGGCGTCCCCGGTCGGATGGCTTCAGTCGGCCCTGGCCGCGCCAGTCGGAGAAGAGTGGTACGTAGGCTTCCTATAGGTCCCCGGTCGGAGTCGCGGGGTCAGAGTAGGAAGTAGCGTTTTGGGCCAGGCCTTTCGATCGGAGAGATCACTTGGAGGCTGTGAATGCTCCAATCGGAGAGGTGGGCCGAAGAGGTTGGCGAGTGGGCGCTTGCTCCTTTAGGTTGACCTTTCGGTCGGAGACCATGCTGTTCTTCCGGCCCGCCGTGTTTATAGACTATTTGGGCCGGCCCTTGGACTACATGCTGTTTTCCTGGCCCGAGCCCTGGCGCTGGAGCCGGTCCCCGAGGGACCCCGGGTTTATGAACCCGATAGGAGCCCCTGAGCCCCCGGGTGATTTAAGCAGAATCGTCGAGGATTTTTTCGTCTCGACGGGCTTGGTGAGCACACCCGTGTAGCCCCGAGCCCCAGGCGGTTGAGGCGAGAACCGGACCAGGGGGTTTTTCGTGTTGTTGGCGGTCTTGTGGAAAGACCATGAGTGTAGCCCCCAAGCCCCCGGGCGGTTCGGGAAGAACCGGTAGGGGGGTGTTGTTTCACCGGGCGTGTGTGCGTGTTTTTAGTTCGAGACGGAATTTTGTTTAACCACGGCGTCGTTGCGCAGCCGAGGTGATTTCTAGGCGTGGAAATGAGACAGAGCTTGCTGACCTCGGCGTCGGTGCGCGCCGTGGATCGGGTGATAGGTTTTTAGTTTGGAAAAAAAGCCCTAGCGTCGGTGCGCGCCATGGATGGAGATAGATCGGTTCGGATGTGTTTTTAGAGCTCGCTGATCTTTGGCGTCGATGCGTGCCGCGGGATCGAGCGAGGCGGGGCTGCAAACGGACCCAGGCGTCGTTGCGCGCCGTGGATTTGTGAGAGAGTTTGGTTAGTTCAGGAGCCCGACGAGTTGGAGCTCGTGGACCCTGGGAGCGCGGTCGGAAGTGAAGCCGTTACGCGAGTTAAGGAGTCGCGATCCTAGGAGCCATAGCCGGATGTTGTAGATCCTGTCGATGCGAGTTCGGGGTCGCAGTCCCAAGAGCCGTAGCCGGATATCATAGATCATGTCGACGTGAGTTCAGGGTCGTGGTCCCAAAGTTTCTTGGAGCGCAGTGAAGCCATTTTGAAGCCAAAGCGTAGTTAGTTGGTTAAAGATCGGACGAGGCGATGATCGCGGACCCTGGCGTCGGTGCGCGCCGTGGGGTTGGGCTTGTCGGAGTCGTGGATCTGGCGAGTTTGAGGTCGCTATCCTTGGCATTTTTTCTTGAGCCCCCGAGCCCTATCGGGCCTTTCTTGGGGGTCGATGTGAGCATTGTGCGTTACCCCATCTGCGGTTCCTCACAACCGGAGGGGCTGAGTTTCATCGCCTATCCCGATCGCTCAAGCTCGAAGACTAGCTTGGTGAGCTTGCTAATGGGTGTGATCGAGTGGAATCTGGGTCCGTCGTTCGTGATGGGGTCGGCATAACCCTCTTGTGACATTCCACTACTCCTTTACCTGCAACCCGACAGATGCCTAGGTCATTCTAGAGACCGACCCGGGTGGCCTAACGGCCTCCCCTTCGATGGAGTTTCTGTGGGCCTGGCGAGAGGTTTAGGATTGAATGAGAAGGTTGAGATGACCTGATCTGCCAGACCAGGCTAGGGCCGCATGGTGCTCATCTATGGTATTCTCCCCTAGCTCTGTTGGTTGCCCATATCGAACGAGGCAACCCCGCTTCGTGACGTAACACGGAGCATTCTGATGCATTTCGCTGCACGTGCGATGCTTTAGTTCCCGAGCCCCCGGGCGGTTCATGCCCTAACCGTCCGGGGGGTTTAGGCGTATGGAATGAATGCTCATATGGATGTATGAATGATTATAAAGAAATAGAGGGGGTTTTGATAGTGTTTACCTTGACGACTGGAGTGATGGGGCTCGGAGAGCTTTCAGTCGGAAACGTTCGACCGGGACCCGTGCTTCGTCGCTCGGGACGGAGTCGGCATGGCCCACACGGGGGCATCCCTTCGCTTCCTGCCTGTGTCTCCATGTTTTTTCTGAGTGATCCGATCGGCTCGGGGGGGCGGTTGGTCTCCCGGTGGAGATTTCATTTTTGGTCTTCCCAGCCCTGGCCTGGGGAAGCAGGAAACTATTCGCGTGCGGTGGCACTTCGGTTCCTGTGCCCGTCGTGTGGTAGTGGTTGATCGTGTGGTAGTGGTGGGCCATGGCCGGGCCACGTCTCGCCTGATCAGGAGCCATTCCATCAAGCAGGGCGCGTCTCGTCGGTGCAGGGCACGTCTCATCTACATTAAATGGGAAAGAGAGAAAATCTTGCTCCGTTGTTCTGCCTTCCCCGATCGGCGTGTCCTTCCCTAACCGCCGTCCCTTTTCCTTTAAGTAGGAGCAGGGAAGGGTTTTGTTTTGTTCTTTTGCCCATTCATCGTCTGCTGCCGCCGCCTTTCTTTTTCCTCCTCGTCGAGAGCGCCTTTGAGAGCTGCGAAGGTTTCTAGGAAAGGAAGGAGGAGAGAGCGAGGGAGAAGAGGAGAACTCACCGATCCTTCGACGACCCAGAGCGAAATGTCGGACTGGCGATCGTCCACCGTGAGGCATTCGGTGCTGGAATCTTTCATCGAGAAGGGGTTCCTGCCGCCGCAGGAGGTGGCGCACTGGAGGGTTCTTGGGAAGGAGGAGTCCTGCGACCTCGCCCCGATGAGGTGGTTTCTTTCCTTACTTTCCATGAGTGCGGACTAGGGTATCCTGCGCACTGGTTCCTGCGTGGACTCCTCAACGAGTGGCGCCTGGAGCTGTAGCACCTCAACCCAACGGGGGTGCTGCACATCACTGGTTTCATCACCGTCTGCGAGGCCTTCCTCGGAATGGAGCTGCACACGGATCTCTTCGGCTTTTCTTCTCTAGGAGGGCTATGGCGGACTGGAGCTCGGCCGAGATCGCGCCGGTCGGAGGCTTTGCCCTACAACGGAAGCCGCGTGGGAGGAGGCTCGTATCCCACATACACCCCATGTGACTCATGGCATGGGGAGTGGTTTTACATCCGAGAATCCGGTGGGGGCGTTGTTTCCAATGTTTACCGGTGGGAGGCCGGTAAAGCAGAAGAG